TGTAATTGGACTTTAGCTCATACAAGGTTTTCGTAAAATCGGATCTGAACGAGAGAGATAACTCAATCAAATCTATGGGGAAAACCTAGAACCTTCATTAAATCAATTATGCTGAGGTTGACAAGTGTCTAGCACGGATAGAAACTGCGGGTGGCGCAGGTATCTCCCAGCCCAATATTATGTTTGAACCTGTCGAATTTCCCTGATCATTAGTTGAGACCACTTATGTCGAACAAGAGAACGGGCTAACGGATACTTTACCATGACATGCCTTTTGAAATTTAAAAAATGGAACGGTACGGAAACACAAATTACCTAAAATTCGTAAAATATAATCTCATTTATTATACAATGAAAATCTATTGGCATATTTTGCTGTTAGGAAACTGTGATCGAACGTTTTCTTACCGACACCAAATATGCAACATCTACGCCCATTCAGGCTCCGACCCAAAATTTTAAGCTTCTCAAAGAATCTCTTTCAGAGTTAGAAAATAATTAGCGGAGAAGAGTAACATAGTTTTCCGTGGTGTACAGATCATGTAACATCCAAAAAACGTAATTCTAATTTTTTAAATTCCATGCAAGTACAATACCTCCTCACCAATTATTGACGTTGGAAGTAAAATGAATGAAATCATAATAGGGAAAGTTTTGGTACAAATCAATTCAACGCGGCCTGATAAAATTAAGGAAATCTGATCAAATAAATAATGTCGTTTTGAAAGTTGGTAGAGCTATTCCTTCAGATCCAAATGAACATAATAAGATTTCGACTGTGTGAGGTAAGCTGGTGAAGTTGACTATTTTCAGCCTTTTGCACGCAACGAAATCCTTATACTCGTAATAATTCTTTCTACATCAATAATCAACATCAAATTTACAACAAATTATGTCAAACATTTTTACTGTAGGATCAATACCTTAGTCAGTTTAAAAGGGTTGATGGATTTTGGCATATGAGGTGACATTGAATTCGGCATGGCGTAAGTGTGACATTGGGTATATTCGAATTTTATGAAATCGAAATAACGGATTTTAACGTAAATGTCAACTTTCACGGCTCTGTCTGACAGAAATGGATAAGATCACTATATATTTGATAGCACAATTAAAGTTTCACTCTTTTCAGTTACCACAGTCAGATTTTTTTCTGTTCTCAAAAATCGTATCCAAGCGAAAAACCAAAATTTCTGTGTTATGTACCGCGGTTACAATAGGGTTTAAGATGACACACGGGTTGACGTCAGATACTCGAATCTCGAATCGCTTGAACGCGTTGGTTTTAACCGCGGTTTTGTTGCAGGTCGTTTATTTTAGAAAAGCGTGTATATATATAATTTCTGATTATTCTTATTATCACTTAATAATCGGTGATTTTTCGTCTACAACAGCGTATGGAAATTTTAAAAACGAAACCTTTCATAATATTAATGGGAGAATTTTTTTTCAGAAAATAATTTCTAATGATGGAACCACGGCTTTGTAGCAATGATAACTTTCAATTCTCTAAACTTTTCCGCATGTCAAAGAAAAAATTATTGATTAGCAGAATTGATAGGAAAAAGCGATGAAGAAAGATATTAGCAAAACCGTATGCAGGTCGACATTATTCAGTGAGTTTATATGGCCATATTTTAATATTCTTGTGGTATATGACTACATTCGATACTTTGTTAAGCATAGGGACTAGATTTAAAGTGTCCTCAACAGCAGTAATGAGTATAACTAATAAGGTTCTCTATTTTATGGTACAACTGAAGTCAGCTTGTATCAAGTTTCCCAAAAATGAAGCTGAAGTACAACAAAAATATCCAATACCCGGCAAAATTCTAACTTGTCACATTTCAAATAATAACCAGAAATTATAGAACTACTCCTGAGTTAGGTAAATACCACAATTTTGCGGTGATAACTATGATATACAGGGTGATTTTGAAGTTGAGTCATTAATTTTCAGATAATGATTGTAGAAGGAAGATAAACCAAAATATGTGTGTAAAAATAAAAAAAAATTAAAAAAAAATGTTACCTTGTTTTATAAAGTATCCTCCCGACAAGTATTTCAGTGCGGACCTGTATTTGATCGTGCGGTCTTGCCCCTTTGTACTACATTAACAAAGGCACGAGGGGTTGGTTGCACTCGATTGGGAAACCGATCCGCATAAATCCGTGATGCCGCGTAAATAAGAATCATGTCCACAAGTTCAGCATTTTCGTAAACATGTGCACATTTTTTATTTCGTTTGAGCCACGCAACAGACACCACTATTCACTCACGCGTTACCGACTGACACTGACTGTATACAACTGAATAAAATAATTGTAAAATCATCGTTCCAAATTCTTTCGCTTTTTTGTTTCCGATGCGATAAACCGATAAGGCGGATTATATCCGTTGTTGCCAAACACGAGCACATAATATTATTATTGAGATAGGGCGGTACTCATACTTCCAAAGGGCTATAACTTTGTTACTTTAATTTTACCAGGAAAATGGTAAAGGAAAAAACATTTCTTTTGATCAGATCTACTCACTGTAAAAATAAATGACTCAACTTCGAAGTCACCCTGTATAACAGCTGATTCATGACGTGACGGATTTTATAGCCAAACTGATAACCACATTCGCTTGAACGAATCGGTAAATACCAATCCAAAATGGTAAATACCATTTTCATTTGGTTGTTCGCTTGAATTTGATTAAAATGTATCTATCTATTTTAAGACAAATACCCAATAACTCGGCAACTAATAATCATAAGCTCTTTTAAAAGGACCTATCCGAGTATGTAATAACAAGTAGAACACTCCATTTAGAAAAAAGTAATAATTTAGATATGAATATGAACACCTTATATAAAAGTGAATATTTTAGGAATATGCCCCCAGATACCATACATATTAACACAAACACAGTTTTACAAAAGGTTTTTGTTAAGGAGCAATACTACGTCCACTACGGTTCGGACAGCTTATATCAATGTTTGGATTCGAATTCAGTAGATGCACAGTATCCAAAATTGAGTTTTGAATTTTTTATGGAAAGTTTCATTTTTACACTCTAGAAAGTGACTATAAAAACAATAGAGTGGGTTCCTACTTGGATATGGTGAAGGTTTGTTTTCTGAAGCACAGACCCCAATCAACCTCAGCACACTCCAGTCTATTGACTCAATAACTCGCAGCGAGTGCAACATTAACTCCAAACTGAAAGTAGCGAAGTGTATACGAACCATTAACGGACGCAGAAAGTTTCTCACGCCGTTCTCGTTCCGTACCAGATCTAATTTACATTCCTCAGATGGAAGTTTCTGTTTCCAGGAGTGAGCACCCCGCCCGTACTCATACATAGTCTAGCCTCTCGCAGAAGTAACGAAATTATTTCAATGTTGTAAACCGTTTAATGGAATTCTAAGAGTTTGGCTAGGATGGCTATAGTCCGGGCTGGGAGTTCACTTTCATTCGTAAAATTACTGTGGCACAATTTTCTGCATAATCGTCCTCAAAATTAGCCCATTAGAAAGAACAAAGTGGCGAGGGTCGTTAAAGTTGCCCATCAAATGTTTAAATAATATCTAAAGAAGACTCATTCTTATTTTGCTCCAGAATTTTTTTTGGTCATATTTCTAAACTATGTTATATAATTATGTTTTAAGCATGATGGTCAATCTTTGCTTCCAACTCGACATGGACTTCCCCGCCAACGCCCGAGTGCTGTGGGTTTGAAGGGTTCCTTCCCTGCTGTAAGGGAAGTAACATTCAGGCATAAGACCGTAAGACGGGTGGCTCTTGTAGGTCCATATCAACAAAGCTTATGATCGTTTCTTGATTCTTTCCGTTGTATTGAAGAGGTGTGCAGCGACTCTTGCTCCAGTTCTTTCGCGTCTACGAATCAGGCACCTTTCCATAAAACTGCAAATTAGCTCATGTCTAATCTAAGACAACTACAGGCCTATAACTCTGTTTTCTGTTACAAATGAGATGACGAAGAGGTGCATAAATCGCCTGCTTCTGGAGTACCTCGAACATCACGGCTAGATAAGCGACAGGTAGTGTGGTACCCTTGATCCACAGGGGACCAGATAGCTTACGTCACGTTAACCCTACATTGTTAGCTGAATCCACTAATGACAAAGAAACTCCACCAATTTTTATGTTCCGGCAGTAAATTATCAGGACTATTGTTGGAGCAAAAAAGCATAACCAAAGACTTAGAAGAATTCAATTTTAAGTTATTGTTCTTGGAAAAATTTATTATTCCATTGGGATCACTCTTAATATAGTTAGCTGCTTGAGAGACATTGGGTGGAGTGAAAGCTTTCAGCAATTATGTATAATCAACCTCACTTGCGCATTTAATCACTGATCTCTAGATGACACGACGAATATCTATCATAATTTCCAAACCCAAACATTATAGTTGTTAATAATTGTCTTGACAAGCCTTTCCGTCTCTTCTTAATCCTTGAATGGGTCAAGTTATCGAGCTGAAAACTGAGATGATGGAATTGATGCATAAATATTACATCAGAGTAAAAGTGGCAGTTTGAAGATGACTGGACGTGTGTTGAGCTTCATAACATACCACATTATAAATGAATTAGTTAAAAAACATTCCACATAAGGTTTCTGTGGGAACTTTTGAGCAACAGAGACACCAAGAATATTCTACTTACGGAGGCAAGATTATATGTCCAACTTAATGTGGCCCAAAGGCCACTTCAAAACAAAAATGCAGTTTGGAGGGCCGCATTATAAAATCTTTCTATACAATATTTTTACTGAGTTTTAATAGGTATATAATATACTATTTGGTATACAAAAATAGTTTTACTATTATTTTTATTTATTCAAAAAATATGAAATTACAAAAAAATCAGTGGGACATTTGAGGATGTTGGTTTTCTAATACTAATGCATCAATATTAACATTAATATTTGTTGTTGATAAACGAAGTAACTGAGTAAGTGACTTATCAGAGAGGGAACATCTATACTTTGACTTGATAAATTTCATGTTGGAAAAGCTGCTTTCGCAAAGACTCGTGCTTCCCATCATTGATTTCAGTTCTTCCTTGGTAAAAAGGATCTGATTGCAAATCACACAATTCCAGTTTAAGGTCTGCTCTGCTTACATTCTCAGCAGAAATTGTTAGTGGCTGAGTAAAACTGAAATGTCGCTTTCGATTTTTTTAAAGTCACTAAATCGATTTTTGAATTCTTCTGCAATTGTGTCAATGTATTTTATATGAGGTAAATATGAAACTTCCTCAAAATCCTTCATTTCTTCGAAATGTTCTTTACAACTTGGAAAAAATTAAAAATCATTTTTTTGTAATGAAGACTTGAAAAGCTTAATTTCATTCTTAAACCCATTTATGTGTCCAAATAAGTTGGCAATATTCTGCTGTTTTACTTGTAGCTTCAAATTCAATTCGTTGAGGTGAGATGTCATGTCTGTTAAAAATGCAAGGTCTGCTAAAAATTGTGCATCTGTCATTTGATTTTCCAGTTCCGTAGTGTCGGACGTCACTTCATTTTTAAGGAAAATAGGAATTTCCTTGCGTAGAGCGAACACTCGTTGCAAACACTTTCCGGCGCTTAACCAACGAACATCGGTGTGAAGTAAAAAGTTCCCATATGAAGCGTCCACTTCGGCTAAAAAATCACGAAACTTTCTGTGAGTCAAAGCACGATTGCCCACTCTAACAATATTAGTTATTTTAACAGCCACTTTCATGACATAGGACAGTTGATGCTGTTTTGTTTCAATAGTCCTGCAAATCCAATTTCAGTCCCTGTCATAGCTCTGGCGCCATCAGTGACAATACAGGAACATTTATCAAATCCCCCGTAGTCTGACACCAACTTATTCACAGCTTCAAAAATATCTGTACCCTTGGTTGTACCATGGAGAGGAATAAAGTCAAGCATCTCCTCTGCTACACTGAAGTCGTCTTGAATAGTTCGGATAAAAATTACAAGCTGGCTAATGTCAGACAGATCAGTGCTTTCATCCAGGCATAGCGAAAAATATTTATATTTTTCAACCACGTCACGCAATTTTTTGGATACATGTTCATTGATATGGTCTTGCAATTGGTTGATGCGATACTGAGACAGTTTCAAATTTTTCGGCAACTTTTAATTCATTGAATTGTTTCGCCGTTTCTATTGCACACTTTTTGATAAGCACTCCATTTCTAAAAGGTTTTTTTGCTTTGTCAATTTCCAGCGCTATTTTGTAAAAGATGGCAATACTTCACTAGTTATCAGAGTCAGATTTTTTGAAAAACTTGTTTGTTGTTTTAGTTTTTTCTGATATTCCGTTATGATAGCCTGCCTCGAGTCCCCTGAATATGGCCGAAACGTTTTCTCGTGTAACGTAGTGTAATGTCGTTTCATATTATATTCTTTAGGAACCGATAGTACTTGCATACAAACAATGCACTGAAGTTTATTATTATTGTTTGAGATTAAATATTCTGATTCCCAACGGTCATTATAAACTCGATGTTCGTTCGTTATTTTTCGTTTCTGTGAAGACATATTTCACGGAGTATTACACTTAAAAAGGCTTTAGAGTTGCTGTGTACTGAAACGCACTAGCACTAGAACAAAAACTGCCTGTCCCGCTTGATTCAACCTTCTTATATACGCGCCCGTGGCTTCTCGAATATTCGGGGATGATCGAGAGATCAGTCCAATTTCCAGTAAATTCGCTGCTGCCTGCTATCGGTCGCCAGTGGCGTCACATGTTATTGTATTTTATCGTTAATGTAAGAATTGTGCATATTCGGTATTTGAGAGAAATTTATACATGTGATGTATACATGACCCGTGAAGCGGGCCGCAAGAAAGGAATTCGCAGGCCGTATGTTGGACAGCCCTGGCCTAGACTATACACCGTTTAAAAGGAATCCTAGAAGTTCAGCTCAAACGCCTTACCGGTGAGAAATATCCATTGTTTCCGAGCTTATACAAACTAATAGGGACTTCAAACTTGTATAGCAGCCCGCTAATTGCGAATTTTATGGGAATGGCAACTTTGAAATTACTTCAGACGCATTAGGTTCAAAAGACGCTCGTTATTGGAAGAGTTCTCGCAGTGAAGTATACACATATTTTACTTCGGGATACCACAGCAATACAATAGCATCGATATGCGAGTTCTAAGGGTAGCATACCTTCAAAGCAAAATTGACATGTTTGTTTTGAAACTTTTAGACTATTTCATGGAATTTTGCAGAAATGGTAGTATACATGTGAGAAATATAACGTCATGTAGGTTGACTCTGCACTTCCTATGCAACGCCGTCACCATTCATGAAGGATTGAGTTCAGTACGTTAAAAAAAGTTAGTTACGAACATGTATAACAGAGGATTTAAACGGATCAAGTCAGTCAAACAAGCCCATACAATTAATACATAGACCTTGTTTCCCTGCCGCTTCCGGTAGTATCGTCTATTTGGCAACGTTGCCTCTTCCCATATAAATTAAGAATGTGCAAACAACGAACGACTTTTTAAAAAAGCGACTTTATTTAACAGAAGACGAATGAGTACTGGTCACCTTGGTTTACATGCATCTCTTACTTATAACCTACGCTAGAACAAAGGAATTGAAAAGTGCAAACCTAAGCAACTCTACATATTAGATCATCATCATAGCAGTGCCGTAATTCCTCCCTCTTCAAGAAGATTGAACCTCCTGGTTCAAAGGAAAAATCTGGTTAAGTTCAATGTCATTTTTGACTGATTGATTTTTTGGTTCTTTTTGCTTCAAAAGAGAGAGCAATTGTTTTTTAAACAAAGTATAATTACAACAAATGTTAAAATACATAAAATAGTTACAATGCTAAACGTGGACGTTTTGTGTGAAAAAATCTAAATTTTTTAATTTATCGTGTAATAAAACATTATTCAATTGTATATCCGAATAACCCTTTACATCAGTATTTTCAAATAACATATTCTTATCATAGTTCACCATAATGTTAGGTATGTATAAAGGTTTCGAAATATCAGAAATCTTCAATACTCAGTATGATCAATAAATGTTTTACAGTTTAAGCTGATAATAAAAGAGGAATCAATTTCTTTTCTTTCTTTGGTACAATCTTCATATACTGGAATATTCTTGTTAGTATTCACTAAATAGTTATCATGTTTTAATTGAATTACTTCTGAAAATGAACCTTTTGCCAAGAACGTACAATTTTCAACTTTAAGTAAGTTACAACTGGAATGGATTAGTATAGTACAGTAAAAATATTTATTACTCAATAATTTGCATTCATCACAAAAATGTATAGTTTCATTTTCGATAATATTTTTATGTTTCAATACCAGAATATTATTTTGGTGTATAATGGGGTATATATTGGAATATATAAAGTTACCAGTAACTGTTGGTATGTGAAGAACAAATATGATTTCTTCTTCGAGGACTATAATACTTAATTCACATAATTCGAAAAATTCAAAATTGTGCAGTTTATCAAGTGGGAGAAGTTCATTTTTGTCAAATAGATCACTTAATAACGAATGGATATAATTAATTTCAGTCTTACTCAGCTGTAAGAGATTTATGCCCTGATTTGTACTCAGGTTAATGGTTAACAGTAAGTGTGATAAATAATTAGAAAATCTTTGAATAATTATTATCTCATTCAAGACATACTGAGAATTAGCGTATTCGCTATGCAATTTGTTGAGGTTATCCAAATTATCTCTCAAATTTTTCTTTATAATTAAAGTGTTATTTTCAAACCTGTCTTGTAATTGTTTTGCTACAGAGACGGTTCGGGAATTTTGTAATGATAAATTATCTTGATTTTCCTTCAGAATTTTCATATTTTCCATTATTTCGTCTAGATCAGATTGATCTAAATTGCCTGAAATATATTTTATGACGGAACCAAGACCATTAAATAATCCACGCTTAACTCGTTTAAATTTTAACATTTCATATTTGTCTAAAAGCAAATTGTATTCATGTTCAAGTTGTGTCATCAACGTATCATCTATTCTTTGTTTTGCAAAATAGACATTTGACGTTATTTGCTTGATATTTTCATTAATGAGAGTGAGATTTATATGAAAAAATGTCTTATGGTACGCTTTTAGTAGATAGGCGTTACCTAGCTCTTGCTTAAAATATGGTGCTTTATTCTCGATCAGCTGGATCTCTAGGCCGGCTAGTTGAAGGGCCTGGATTAGGATCCTGAAAGTTAGAAATTTTGCGTTGCGGTTTCACTCTATTCAGTCTATGCTTTTTTCCTTTAGTGCGCAAATTAATATGGACATTTTCTTGTTCGTAAGAGGTCTCTTTAGAATACAGGGGTTTTGTTTTATGTGAACGATCTAATGCAGATTTAAGATATACTGGACCTTCTAAGGTTGGAATTTCCTTATTTCGATTTTGATTAATTTTTTCTAGTCTTTCCGTTGCCTTATCTAGTACACGGTTCGATAGTTCTTCATAAAAAGGTAGTAATTCTCTGTACCGTTTCTCGTTATATTCATCATATAATTTTGTGGGGGTATCGATCAAATGCTTATTCAAATCGTCGTAAGGACCGTATAATAATGAAAATGGGGTATATGTGGTCGTAGAATGGACACTTTGGTTATAAATTAAGATAGCTGTCGTCATTAGATCAATAATCGAATCGATTTTATTTTGCTGACGTAAAATTTTGAGTTTTTCTTTCAAGGTACTATGAAATCTTTCAAGAGGTGATAATGATGAGGGGTTACCTACACTAGTAACATGACATTCAATTTTGTGCATATTACAGAATTCTTTTATAACTTTTGTGTTAAGTTCACCAGGATCAAAAGTTATTTGTCAGGATAATTGTGATGGGAAAAGAAGTGTCTGATTTTGTTTAATATTTCGTTAGATAATTTTGATTTTAAATTGTAGGCCTGGGCATATTTACTAAATAAATCAACAATGTTAAAAATATTTGTTGTTCGACTTGAAAAATATCTAGAAATATATGTTCAAATGGTCTTTTGGCTATTAGAGGTCCTTCCATAGGGAGTTCGATTGGTCGTCTTTCGTATTTTGATGTCAAACAAGTATTGCACTGATTAATGTAATTTGATATTATTTTTTTCATATTTGGAGTGAATGCTTTTTTCTTGAAATGGCTGTAAGTTTCATTGATACCATTATGCGTTTGGCTATGATAGAAAGACAATTGTTCTGTAAATGAGTCTTTTAGTAGGTATATAGGCTTATAAGAAGCTTTAACAAATCTTATACCGCTGTTCGAAAAATACTGTTCTAAAAGTTCGTTAAGTTTAAATTCTAAAAGTTGATTTTCATACCAAATACCATAAGTATGATCGGGCTGAAGATATTCCTTCATGAATTTCAAAAGTTGCTCTGTTTCAGATCCACTTCGGACTGTTACCATTAAAGTTCCATTGCAAGACTTTGTTATTTTGTACTGATTTTTTAACTGAAAATGTATTCGATTTTTGAAAAAATAAAAATTCTTTTCTTGATACAATATATGATTGATAGGATTTTGTGCAGATGAATGTCGAGTAACATCAGATTGCTCAACAATTTTGAGTCGTTCATCTAACGGCATTTCATCTAATAAATCAATTAAAGGTAAATTATCTTCATTCAAGATTTCATCAAGTTCTTGGGTTGTTAATTCTTCTACAGAATCTACTTGTGGTAAAATGGATAAAAGATCGTCATCCTCTAAAGCGTTAATTTCAATTCTACTGAGCGCATCGGCTACAACATTGTCTTTGCCTTTTTTATATTTAATTGAAAAATTATATTCTTCTAACTGAAGCTTCCATCTAATCAATCGCTGATTGGGCACTGATAAAGAACTCAACCAAACTAGGGGCTTGTGATCACATTCGATTAGAAAAATTTGACCAAATAAATAAGGACGGAATTTTTTACAAGAATCAACTATTGCCAATAGTTTCTTTTTCAATAACGCTGTAATTGCGTTCGGCAGAATTTAATGTTCGAGAGTGGAAAGCAATAGGCTTATCATTTTGACTAAGAACTCCTGATAGGGCTATATTGCTACAATCAGTTGTCAATGTAAATTTTTTGGAAAAATCAGGATAAGCCAGAATAGGTGGGTTACAAAGAGCTTCTTTACAAAGTTTAAATGCATTGATATAATCTGGATTATTGATATTGATTTTTTCATCTTTACGTAAACATTTTGTGAATGGCTTAGTCAATTGTGCAAATCCTTTAATAAATTTACGATAATAGTTCATAAGGCCTAAAAATGACTGGATTTCTTTAATCGTAGTCGGGAGAGGATATTCTTGAATTACTTTGATTTTATCTGGGTTTGGAAGTATGCCTTGTGGCGTGATGACATGACCTAAGAATGGAACATCTTTCTCAGGAACTCAGATTTGTCCAGTTGGATTTTTAAATTAAACTGATTCAGTTTTTGGAATATTTTTCGAAGATGCAAAATGTGTTCGTCTAGGGATTTTGAAAAAACAATGATATCATCCATATAGACAAAACAAAAAACGTTGA